TGATCACCTCTTGGCAAAACTGGCCAACTATGGCCTCAGCTTCGCCACGATCCGCTGGCTGGGGAATTAGCTTCATGGTCGGACCCAGAGGGTGGTGGTTGACGTAAGTCAATTGTCGTGGTGCCCTGTGACGAGTGGGGTCCCCCAAGGCCTTGGGCCTACACTATTCAGCATCTTCATTAATGATGTGGACATTGGCATCAGAAGCAGACTGGCCAAGTGTGCCGATGACACCAAACTCTGAGGTAAAGCCTCCACACCTGAGGATAGGAGGGCCATCCAGGCTGACCTTGACAGGCTCAGGAAATGGGCGGATGAGAACCTGATGGTGTTTAACACTGAAAAATGCAAGGTTCTCCACCTTGGGAGGAAAAACCTGCAGCATGCTTGTAGGCTGGCTAGCACTAGACGAAAAGGTCATGACTGACCACAAGATGAACGTGAACCTTCAAATGTGATGCTGCAGCTAGTAAAGTGAGCAAAATGCTGGCTTGCATCCATATATGCTTCTCAAGCAAATCCCAGGACATCATTCTCCCACTGTAATAGGCCTTGGAGTATTGAGTCCAGTTTTGGGCTCCACAATTCAAAAACAGTGCAGAGAAGCTTGAGAGAGTGCAGAGGAGAGCCATGCGTATGACCAGAGGTCAGGAAAACAGACCTTATGATGAGAGGCTGAGAGCCATGGGACTCTTCAGCCTGGAACAGCGCAGGCTCAGGGGTGATCTGGTGGCCGCCTATAAGTTTATCAGGGGTGTTCACCAGGATCTGGGGGAACATCTGTTCAACAGAGTGCCTCACTGGATGACAAGGTCACAAACTCCTTCAGGATGTTTCAGGCTGGACATAAGGAAGAACTTCTTTACTGTCTGAGCCCCCAAGGTCTGGAATAGACGGCTGCCAGAGGTGGTTCAAGCACCTACTCTGAACACCTGCAAGAAACATTTAGATGTGTACCTTGCTGGGATCCCATGATCCCTGCTGACTTCCTGCCCCTGGGGCACGGGGCTGGACTCGATGATCTTCCGAGGTCCCTTCCAGACCTAATGTCTATGAAATCTACTTACTACCTAGATACCAGCAGGAACGACAGAACCACCTGTAAAGAGAATGGAAAGACAATCTGGGCATCAACCTTCCCCTTTTCCAGAGTGCAGCATATCTCATCAGCAAGTGACCCACCACCCTCATCTTTCCAACTGGCTTCAGGCTTTGGAGGGTATCAGCCTTGGGGCTCTGAGATGCAGTGCAAGAGTCTCCCACAAGAAACAAGGTTAATTAGGGGGCTTTGTCAGCCTGGTCGACATGCGACTGAGGCACGGGCTCACTAAAGGAGGCAACAGCTGAAGAAAACAAGGATCGGAGACCCGGTAAGGGGCGTTTTGGTTTTACTGAATTTACCCAAGGGGGGGGGGCAGCTTTTCAAGCAAACGAAGCCAGAGCTGGGACTACAACGGACGAGGGGGACGCGGCTCTCCGCTCTCGCACCCTTTGGAGCAGGGGCGTTCAACCTCCGGCCCGCGGCACCGTCTCCCGTCGGTGGAGCCCCAGCCCCGCGCTGCCTCTGGCGCCGCATCCCAGTACCCGACCCCGGGGAAGGGGGAAGGGACTTGGGGCGCACTCACCAACCCGAATCGGGCCCTGGCTCTCTCGCCGTGGCACCCGGTCACCACCGCACATTGCGCATGCACGCCCGCTGAGCGCGACGGCGACGTCATCAGGCGGCGCCCGCTGCCCCCACTCGAGTAAGAGCATGGCACCGAGCGCGGCGGGGATAGCGGCCTCCCGGGGGCTCGTGCGGCTTGTCCTGCTGCGCTCGGCTCAGAGCAGCGCCGGGGCCGAGGTCCCCGAGCACGTGGTGCGGGTGCCCTGGGCCGCGCGGCAGCAGCAACAGCTGCGGCGGCGGCGGGTGGCGGCTGAGCCGGCGGTCCCGACGCGGGGGGGGAAGTTTCTGCTGCGGAGCCGGCGACAGGAGCTGAGTCAGCCAAGCCACCTGACGCTGGGCCGCTGGGAGGCGCCGCGCCTGGTGTCGGCGGGCTGGAAGCACCGGCTGTCCTGCGGCGACTACTTCCAGCTGGAGCGCGTCCAGGACGTGGCGCCGGCGCTCGCGCCGCCGCAGGCTGAGGGGGGCGACGCGTCCTTCGGGGCGCTGGGGCTGGAGCCGGCGCTGGTGTCGGCCCTAGACGCGCTGTCCTTTGGGCGGCCCACTGCAGTGCAGCGCCGCGCCATCCCTGCCCTGCTGCGCGGCCGCCACGCGATCTGCGCCGCCGAGACGGGCAGCGGCAAGACCCTGGCATACTTGCTGCCGCTACTGCAGCGGCTCCTTGTGGGGCCCCGGCCCCAGCTGCGCTCGGGCCAGGCTGCCAGCCCCCTCAGCCTGGTGCTGCTGCCATCGCGGGAGCTGGCGGAGCAGGTGCGTGCTGTGGCCGCCTCCCTGTGCCGGCCGCTGGGGCTGCGGGTGCGGGAGATTGGCGGCGGCCGGGGCATGGGCAACGTGAAGAGGCAGCTGTGTGCGGAGCCTTCCCTGGACGTGCTGCTGGCCACGCCGGGGGCCCTGTGCAAGGCGCTGCGGAAGCGGATGGTGACCCTGGAGCAGCTCAGCTGCCTGGTGCTGGATGAGGCCGACACCCTGCTGGACCCCACGTTTGTGGAGCTGGTGGAGGAGGTGCTGGCACATGCTCCCCTGACCTGCACCCCCCAGGATTTGGCTGATCCGTGGGATGTCAAAACCCAGTTGGTGGTTGTCGGAGCCACCTTCCCCGGAGGCCTAAGCCAGCTGCTGAGCAAGTTTACTGATATTGGCCACTTTGTCAGGCTCGTCAGTCACAGCCTGCATTGCCTCCTACCCCACGTCCAGCAGAAATTTTTCCGGATCAAAGGCAGAGACAAAGTGTCTGAGCTGCTGCAGCTCATCAAGGTCCGGAGCCCTTCCAGTGGAGCCCTCCTTGTCTTCTGTAACAAGGCCCCCACAGTCAACTGGCTCAGCTACATCTTTGATGATCACAAAATCAAGCACCTGAGACTGCAGGGCCAGATGCCTGCAGCCGTGAGAGCAGGTATCTTCTCTGCCTTCCAGAAGGGAGAGAAGGACATCCTTGTCTGCACTGATTTAGCTTCCCGAGGACTGGATACCAGCCGCGTGGAGCTGATAGTCAACTATGACTTCCCAGACACCCTGCAGGACTATCTCCATCGGGTAGGGCGTGTTGGGCGTGTGGGAAGCCAGAAGCTTGGATCTGCAATTAGTTACGTGACACATCCGTGGGATGTTGACCTGGTGAGGAAGATAGAGACTGCTGCCCGGAGAAGGACTAGTCTCCCGGGTATGAAGACCTCCATTGATGAGCCTTTACCTGAAACAGACTCAACTCAGACTGCCAAACAGCAATGAACTTTGTGTCTGAGTTAGACTTAGGCTCCTAATAAAGGCTTGCTGTTATACTTAATACTAACACTCTTATGTTTGTGACCCAGAATGTAAACATTATAGCCAAAGAACTTAAGCTTTTAGTTGCGTTGTGACCCAAAGGTGTATCGATTAATTTCAGTTATAGCAGTTACTTTGCACTTTTGCAAAATCAAATTGTAGTAACGTGCAACAGGTAGTTAAAATGCTTTTAGGGAAGGCTTGAAATTGATATTCTCCATTTCATTCTCCATTTCTATTTGTTCAAAGCTCATTAATATTAAATTTGATGTAAATCAGATCTATCTGGATAAAAAAAATAGGTTAAGATAATGTAGTCACTATAATCCTGAAATTTTTATTTCATTAATGTTCTAATATAGGTGGCTAGCTACATTAGCCTGATGTCAGGCAGAAGATAAGGCGGGGCAGCACCCTTGAAACTGGTTCAGAGAGGCATGAGTTTTCACAGACAGCAATCTACTGTGTCAGATGCTAGGAAAGGACTCCCATTTCTATCTCTCTGTTTCTACCTTGCTTACCTTCTGGCTGTTCTGATATAATATTAGCAACAGCCAGGAACTGAATATTAGGTGAAGGTTAAAATAACAATTATTGTGGAAATATGTTGCCTCTTCCCTCAAGTGTGTAAAAGGTTATATATCTGGTATAACTATTGTAAATTAAGGCTTGTTTATCTCCAGCACAGGTGGGTGTAGTGGAAGTTTCTGGACCATAATCTAACCTTCTATCTAAACTCTGACATAGTTTTTTCTGCAATCTCCCTAGGTCTTACAATGTCACAGTACAATACAGATACAGATGTTTTTTCCTAGAAATACACACCAGGTATTTCGAAAGTGGAGCTAGGACACCATGGAAAGAAATCAGAAGGAAAATGCTGGTTAAGCAGTTTGTACTCCAAGGTTACCTCCCAGTAGTACATTTGTAGTATTTTATAGGTTGAAGAGAGAGGCCTTTCACACTTCCTTTATGAAAGTTCTTTTGCTTGTTTTTTATTATGTATTCAGACTCTTTAATTGTTGAAATAGGATAAGTAGAATTACTGTGGTGAGAAGAATGTACTTCTCAGAGTGCCATTCACAAGTAAATTAAAGTACTGTATAAAGGGGGGTTATAGATTAGTGCATCAGGCACCCAGAGATGAAATGACTTGGCCATGGTCACCAAGTAGGCCATTGATGGTACTGGAAATAAGATGTAAGTTCCATGAATCCTACTGTGGTACACAGATACTTAACACCTAAATAAAACTCCTTTGTCAAAAGAGTTGGAGTCAAAACTGTCCCCCTCAATTTTTTGTGAGCCAATGTAGATTCTGTGTTTCCCTCCTCTTGCCTCTTCCAAGCAGCTGCACTAAAAGCATCATGGACTGTGTGTCAGTCTGCAAGGAGAAGGAGTAGGAAAATAGGGGAGTGAAAGGTATTGTTGAGCTCTCCCGTGTCTGCGTTCAGAAATAAGTTTTAATGGATGAGGACAGCTTCACAATTTTGTCCAAAGTCTGTCTTCTCTGACTCCCCTGCATTATGTCATGGACTGAAAAGGAAATGCTTTGACCAAATACTGCCTATAGCAGTGTGAGTGGGCAAGTTATTGCTTTTGAATGGAATTGTTTTCTGGTGAGTGGCTTCATTACTTGTCTGATTTTTAAGGAAGTTAAGCCCTATTCTGGGGTTTTTAGTCAATTATTAGTGTTAGAAAACAAAATTTTGATACATAGCTGAGATTTATTACAGATCCTTTCCCACTTAATCCATCTTTCTGTGCACGTGCTTATATCCCCTCTGTCAACTCAGGGGTGTGGAAAGTGCTAATATGGTCAAAAGACTAATTATTGAAAAGATCAGAACAGGATATTTCTGTGTTATTTTTTTGCAAGGGAAATTGTGCAGCTTGAAGGCATTTCATTCTGGTCACTGGGGAGGAAAAAATCCCCACTGGATAAAACCTTTCATGACAGCCTTTAGAATAAAATCTGTAATGAAAACTAGATGTTGGACATTAGTAATCCATTCACATTACAGCAGTGAGAAGAACATTGTGGGGAATCTTCAAGATGTAGTTTTCTTTTATTCCCAGTTGGTAAAGAGATGACTGGAACAGCAATGCAGTAAAAGAACCTGGCAACCCTTGTATTTTGACTACATTAAGCATTATGTGCCACTTGTCATCCACTGTGAAATTAATTGCAAATTTTTGTCTGTATATGTGCATAGGAAGAAACAATACCAAAGATCCATGGCAGTATGCAAGAAGAACCTTTTGGGTATAATTTATGGGATGGGCTAAAGCAGTATTAATATTTTCAAGTGGCTTCTGCACGGATGTTACTTGTATACTAGCAACCTCATATTAATTCCAGTTGGAGGTTGTGCACTGAAACCTTACATTTCAACATCCTTAAAATAACTTTATTTCGTTGTCTGTTCTGTAGTCCTCTGTTATCTACAGTCAGCTCAAGCAGTTTCTTTTTACCATCTTGTACCATCTTTATTTTTCCCAAAGCCTGACAAAGGGACTTGGATCCTGAAAGCTTGCAGAAAAGGACAATTTTCTGCGATTTCCCAGTTGGTCTAATAAAAGGCATCATTTTGGAACCAAGAGTTCTAGTTTTTTGTATTACTCAAAGAACTAAGAAAATCAGACCCTCTGATTCTGCCACTGGATTTACTGAAACCAATCACTGAGGCCTAGTTTGCAGTATAAATTTGGTCAATTGGGAGGGAACAATGAGAGGGAAGCAGCATGTTTGTTCTTCAGCTTGAAAACAAGTCTCAGCAAACAAAAAACAACATGCAGTTAGAGTCCAGGTCTCTGGACCATAATAAATGGTTCACTGAGAGAGTATTTCAGGATATGATTGCCTCTTTCCAGAGGTGGGTAAGTGTTTCTGATATAGGACAACAGTTACAGTTGTTAAAGAAGTTATGTCACAGCATTCCATTGCATTAGCCTATGCATTTATGTGCTAACAGTCTCTACCAGAATATTTTTGGCTGCTTAGATTTAATGGCTATGCCCACCACCTGAGCAGATGGAACTGATCTTGTACACACAAAACTAGTATGGTGTTTTGGAATCAAGGTACCAGAGTTTTAATTTCCTTCTGTACTGATTGCACAAAATGGATCCTAGTCATTTGGTTGGTAAATGAAAATGTCAGGAGAGAATCCCCTTTTTTTTTTACTGTGGATCTACTATCTTATAGTAGTGCTTTGCACATATGAAAAGCTGAAGAAGTTGAGTGATAGAAGTTCATACAGGTGTCCCTAACTTTATGCAGGTTCCTTATGTGCACATTCACTCTTATGCGGTGACCTTTTTATACCAAAAATTCCTTATATGCAAGGTAAATTCACTCTTATACAATTGGTGTGGTGGAAGCCCACAGTCAGATGCTTTGTGCATTGCGGGAGTTACGTGCACCAAAATATAGTCTCCTGTGTGGATCTGTGCTCCTCGCTTATTGTCTGTAACGCGTTTCTGTAGTTGCCGTCCCCATTATGGCTTCTAAGCATTCCACTAGCTTATCTCCTGCCCCTCTCCCTGGTCCATCAGTGAAACCTTCCCCACCCTCTCTTGGCACAAACTAAACGTTCACCACCATCCTGTGCTTGCGTGCACTGTCTGCCATTGATGAGTACCAAAATTGTCTTGTAAAAGTGGTAGAAATGGGTCTGGGGGTCAGTATAGTCAAGGTCTTGGAACATATCCCTATTTGTACATTGTAAAGTAGGTTCCCTTTATGCAAAATTGAGTTATGTACCCTTTTCCAGGAACGCATGTACAGCATAAAGTGAGGGTCCCATGAGGTACACATCCCTGCTTCATGGGCTGCACCCCCCACAAGGCTGACTATGTGGTTCATGACACCTCAAAGCTGTTTGACATACTGCAATCTGCACGTGCTGCGTTGCTAATTTGCAACATGACAGGGTTTTTTTGATGCAGATCCTGGTATCAAAAAAAGAAGCAACCTGTAAAAAAATGGTACGGGACATGGCAGCAGCATGTGCTGCTAGAAACAGGAGCCTGGCTGGTCAGAGCCACACTCTGGCTGCTGGCCAGGCTCTGAGCGGCTGGCTCAGTGCCACTGCTGCCCCAGGAGGCCCTCCAGGATTCCTGGTAAGGCTGCAGGGGCCAGTGACCCCAGCATCCCCTATCCCACCCGGGTTCCTTTGCCTTGTGCCAGAGTGCACGTGCCGGGGTGTGCTGTTTTTCTTGCAGGAAATGTGCGCACGGGCATGTGCATGCTTGGTGGGGGACAAGCCCATGGAGGACAAAGTGAGCCACACAGACTCTGTTTGATTTGGTTACACAGATGTTAATTCCTAACTTCTAATCTTGTATTCACGTTGGTAGACTGCTGTCTTCTAATCATTACACATTGATGTCAATAGTCCACAAAGGTAATAAGAACAATATATTCCATCCACTATAGATAAGAGAAGGATTTTTATGTGGAGGGAAATTTTTTAAAACCTGCATGTTTTCTATCAGAGGTTTCTGATTATACCAGGTTCATAAAGGATATTTGAGTCTCAATTGTTATAAGGGTAAAAACTATTTATAAATACTACAGACTTAAATGATTGACAGATGTTATAAGTAAGCTATAGACTTGAGTGGTATATATTATAGATGACTGCAAGCAAAACAGTTTAAACTATTATACATGGTTGTTAGTAACTTAGTAGCCCCTGGGACGATCATTTAATCCTTTATAAATCATTAATTGATTAAACTTTAATAGACTGTGATTGATGAAACTTTAATAGATGGTGATAATTTAGAACATTTATGAGACCATTGGTCAAACTTCATGAATCCCTTCAGTAGCAGATCATCTTATGTGAGTCAGTTTATCCTAGCTCAGTCTGAATTGCTGCACACAGTATTTTAATGCAGTATTGTCAAATGACATAATTACATAACAATGAGAAATAAGATTGTTCCAGCCAATTTTACAGAATGAACTAGTGACACTTTTGTATGTTTACAAATAGCAGCTCTTATCAGTAATGCTCAGTATGGATGATCCATCAAATAGTGACTGTGGTACAGTTCTATAAAATGAGGCCTTTTCTCTTAATTTCAAGTGACACACTGTCCAATAAAAGCATTTGGATAGATATGCTTTACAGTACATGTACCAACAAAACTATTTGTATGCAATATCTTCAGAGAGAGAGAGACTGACACAAAGGCTATGGGTGAATAAACCATGATGTGTGCACTTCTGCCACAAGGTAAATGAAAGATAGGCAGCAGTAGCTTTGCCTTTATTGGAAGAGTGCTTAGCAAATCTCTGTCTCATTCATATAGACCAGTACTAGAGGCAATAATTAATATTATCAGTTGCATTCAGGTGAATACTAGCATTCAATCCCAGAAGTATGAAGGCAATAAAGAGATGCCAAATGGAAATGCCTAGATCTCTAAGAGCACATTGTGGCTAAGGTTATGCATGTTCCTCCTGCTCTTCTTAAGGAAATCCTTTGTGAAACAGGAAGACCTAATCAAAGCTAATGAATTCAAAATAAGCCCAACCAACACAACCTAGAAACACTAATGCCCTGACATTAGTTAAGACACAATATCACTGAACACTTCAAGGCTCTTCCTTAACTACTACAAATAATTTCTCCAAATATTACATTTCCACTTGTGTTTAACCTCATCACTAACAGCTTTTTTTTACAACACAGGTCTGTGTTGTTTCCTTTCTGATTAAACTACCTTCTATATAAACTTCTGTCTCAACATCTTTATAGGGATCTACAGATACCAAAGACTTCATAGAACCCATCACCAGGATATCCAAGTTCCACAGGGTTACAGAATCCAGTGTTTAATAGGCCGTGACAACCAGCTCTGTGAACTGTTCTCAACAGCTTTATGGAGGGCCAACTCCTGCAATGCTACTGATCTAATGAATGAGTTATTCTTACAAAGCACATGCTAATCTTGAATTAAATCAGTAGGAGTCAGATTTTTTTACCCATTTTTTTTAACATTAATTTCTTCCGAAAGAGATTCTTATTTGTATGCCCAGTTCACACATTAGTTGTTGAATGGGTGGTGGAGAAGTTCTCCATACGTATTCTCACCAGCTTCTCAGCAGGACCTGGCTGCAGGAGGAACTTGCAGGTGAAGACTTGCTGACAAGCCTTGCGGAAGTTCTCAGAGAGGAACGCATAGATGATAGGGTTAATGCAAGAGTTCCCATATGCTAGGCAGTGAGAGACAATGCGAAAGGTGAAGGAGATATTGTTCAGTGGAAATTGCCCAAACTCTGCCCACATGGTGATGATGTGATGTGGCAGCCAGGAGATCAAGAACACAGCAACCACAAGTAGTACTGTCTGTGCTGTCTGGAAAAGATAAAAACAATATGTTAGATAATATCATTAGTGTTTGAGAAGGCCTGTTCTGAACATGAGTTATAAATTAGGTTTGTGTCCCTAATCCTATTCCCAACCTTCTGGTGGCAAAGATTGCACTATCCCCTGTTGGATCAGTGATCAAAACCCATATGACACATTGCTTTATTATTATTAATCACATATTTTACAGTAATATCTAAGAGTTGTTATCCAGTCCATACTAAAATTGTAGATAAAGACAGTGGTTGATAGTTCCTACCTACAAGAGCTTACATGGGAGAGCTGTGGGCTCTCCCATGCAGTTTCTGGGCAAGGAAGGTGCTTCAGGAAGCAGTAAGGAGGGGTTGGGAGTCAGCTGGTACCCATTTTACTCCCTCCTTCTCAGTACAGCAATTTTGGCTACTCCTATGTGTGTTTCTCAAACAGGGAATTATTTTGGGCAGAGGGCTGCTTACTGAGTTTTGGCAAGCCATCAAGGGCCACATGACAGGTAGCCAGGGGCAGATGCATATTCATTTTCTGAATTTTTTTGGGGCCCTGCAGGCCAGATAGAATGGCCTGGTGGGCTGCATTTGGCCCACTCCTGTTCTAAAATGTTAAAAGTGACACATTAGTTTTGTTTCAGGTTTTGGGGGTTTTTTTTAATTCTATACTGCAGGAGGGAAGTAAGGCCTGTGGAAAAGAGAGTGCAAAGCCTTTCTTCTCTCACATACATGGGCGCGCTCTGT